GAGATAAAAAAAAGGATAGATTATTCTACACGATTGGTCCATGGGCATGGCGTTTGGGCTGTCTTCTGTGTATATTGGTCTGGCCCTGCACTGAAGCCAAATGCTGACTTATTGATAAGGCCAATAATTTGAACCACGCGCGACCTGGGTCCCTGCTCCTGATTCACTTAACTTTAAGGCTTATTTGACACACCAATGGTCTTGTGTTTCTTGACACTAGAATGTACGAGTTTTGCTTTACTCGTCTTCTTCTTTCCCCCTAGGTTCTCCAACCTCAGAGTCTTTTCATTCAGGCTCTTCTGTTCATAATAAGACAAAGCAATACGTTAAAAAAATTAAGTAATGTATTGCTTCATCAATATTTCTTCTTTAAGAGAGAAAGTCTGTAATAAATATTGTGCGTATATTAATGTGGTAGGTTATATTGTTGTTTTCATAAAAAATCATTTTTATGATATGTACTACCATCTGTGAAACCTTGATTTTGGACGCCACTACTCGCACGTTGGAAACGTTGGAGCGACTCGGAGACAGCAATGTGATGGAACCAGGATTTGAATACGGAGGCTAGATATATATTTTACAGAAAATAGAAATCAAAGTTGGTCATAGGAGTTTTTATAGTGGTTCGGAGCTCACAGCGACTCTATACCACTGTTTATTTTATTTGATCCTCTGACTATTTCTATGATTCTACCTGTAATACATACAAGATGAGAAATACCGTGTTTTTACAGAAGAAGAATGAAGCTCAAATCTCACAGCCCAACCTCCTTCTTCGGGATAGGTGCCTATTTATAGACACCTGCCACTCAATGTAATGAGTGTTTTGCAGTTGTTTTGACGCATGGAAGGTTCTCGTCCAGTCATCTCTTTGAAATGAGAATAAAGTTGTGTGAATATCTTTTGAAGATATGAGCTTGTCATTCTGAGACAAGAGACATTAATTGTGCTGACATAGGCCTTGACTTTTGAAGGGCATAACAAACATGACTAATTGATATATGATAAATGAATTACATGTCTTTGATACCTCTGATATCTTCATCTAATTACATTTTATATTTCGTACTTTAAAATCAGTGATGGATTGGACTTAGGTACATGTGTTTCATCCCCCTAATTTTTTTTTTTTATTAGTTTCAGTAAATGATTTATGAGGATAATGATATTGTTAATAAATGAATGAAAAGCTGTGAGATGTTGAAGTTGCATGTACATTAATCTAATTAGTACATATAACTGTTATACCCTTTTATAGGGAATGTTATGTAAACAAACCACCTATAGGGTTAGTCCTACTTAGAAGTCTTTTGTTTAATCGTAGGAGCGACAATTATTGGATTTATAAAAAAAAAAAAATTTGATTAAATTTATAAATTTGATTAATGTATAAATTTATTTGACACATCTAAAAGAGATTACGTATTAATTTAGAATTACGAAAACAACTTGCTAAGGGAACCCACGTACCTTATTAATTTATAAATTAAGACCACTATGTTAAGCTAATGGGAACCCACTATATGCAATAAATTACTTAAAAAGATCTTGTAATTATTCATCGAACTTTGGAAAGGCATGCACCCTCATATTAGAATTACTAAAGTTAATAAAGCTTCATTTTTAATTCATCTTGATCTATAACATAATTATAAATTAGTAGGTAAATATGATATATTCCTGCTTCATTATTAATCACTTAAACTTTTTTAATTGTTGTACGGGCATATCAAAAAATTCTCTCCTGATAAAATAATCAATAACCATTTAAAACTATTTCTTTAGGATAATTTAATTTTATGGATTATAGAAGTATGCAACCTCTTATCGTCCCCATTCATAAATTTCTAAATTCATTATCAGGGGACATTTGATGTGACTGACGTTTTCTATAGTGAATATTAGATATTCAACTTGAATCTACTTTTCATACTTTGGCAGACAAATCGAATTCCTTTATGCAATTGAATTATTAGTGAAAGGATCGATTCACAAAGTGACCAAATTGTCCATAATTAATTAATAATAAATCATGCATGGTTTTAAATGCATTATTAATTTATTAATTAATAATAACACTAAGCATATTTTTGTTCAAAGAAAAAACAGAGACGAATTATATTCTTCTTATTTATCCAACTCCTTTATAAAAGTGGGATAGTGGGGCTACTCAATATAATAATGATGACCATTATATCATATCTTATAACAAGAATCTGGAAATTGAATCATAAAAGTGTTAGTTCCAAATAGCAAAATTACCCATTAATTAATTTGATAATTCGACGTATTTTGTAGATTTCTACCTACACAGGTGATGGAGAGACGCATGCTTTAATAGTTTAGGCTTAACGGGTGCTCTAAAGTTTAAAAAATTGGATAAATTTAAATGTTATATTTAGGTTTGGTGTAGGCCCACGAATTGTTAGTTTAAATTATTTGGTCTGAAGATATTTGTGAAAGGTGGGTATCAGTAGCCAATAATTGTTTTGGATATCTTTAGCAAATCAGTAGATCAAGTATATATTATAAAAATAATAAATAAGATATGAGAGCTCTATTTACCTTTTTTTTTTTTTTTTTTTTTTTTGATATAAGATGTCCAGACCAGTTTTTGCGACACTTCAATTAATCTTTGGTTTCCTTGCAGCCATCATGTATTTTGGATGGAGATAGACCCCATTTTTAGATTAATACTATTATTTTATCAATATCATGAGAGTGATTGCATCCCTTATAATAGTCCAACCAAAAAAAACAAACTTAATATCATTTTAGAATCTCTGTATCTTCGTTATAATAATGTTTGTGCGTAGGTTATCCAGACATTTTGGTTGCAAAAAACTACTAATTGTTACATTACACATTAAGACGTATGTAAATGTAAGCGAAAATCTTACCAAACTAATACAATTCTATGAGCTTTAGCATAGTGGTGGCCGGCCCTTGAACAAATGAATAATGCTTTATAATACGACAAATGACCTTAAAATTTCAATATGATTATACCAGCAAAAGGGGTCCAACTCTTGAACCCAAGGTGTCAATAGTCAGCATTCTGCACCAATTTTAAGATACACAAAAGTTTAAAGGGCCCACGAAGATGATTGCGTATCCCACTCACAAGAAACTTCGGGGGCGAAAAAAGAAGGAGCAGAAGATAAGATGAGAGCTTGTGCATGAGTCCCTTTACCACTCAATGAGAATACTAATCTAAATAGGTAGGCTGTGCCTGCACCAGCCCCATTTTCTGAGCCCATTGATCCAATTTTTGGTATTGCCCTGAAGGATGATAAGTGTTTGAATTTGAATATCCAAATGTATTGCAATGACAAAGCACAAAGCACAATTGGTAATCAGAGATCCTCCTATATTCTGCACTGTATTGTTATTGTAAAGAACATTGTTTTCACACTGGTAAATTATGTTGTCTTAGCTAAAAACTTTATAAGGGATAATCGTTTAAGTCTGTTAAGAGGAATGTTTCACGAGATAAATAATGCCTTTTTATCAATGTGAAATAGAACATTCTCTTTTTCACTAAATAACCTCATAACTCCTCCCATACGTGGCCATACCTTTTGTCATTACTTAATCTTTTAACTTGATAGTTGTATTCTTTTTTCTATTAATATCCCCGCACTACAATTTTATTATTATAAAAATATTTTAATCTTACTGTTCATGTTAAAACATAACAGATTGTAATTTTCCAAAATTTTTTAAAGTGATACCGTAAATCTTATATTGTATTTGTTATTCTTCATATTCTTAGATTAAACTAAGGTACAACTTGAATTATGTCATAATTGTGAGGTGTCTTTGAATAATATTTTCTGTTATTTATTAAATATAATATTAAATTTTACGGGCCCGACTGGGTTTTTGCTGGATCAACCCCGGTTGTTTGAAAACCCAAGCCCGGATTTTACAAACCCAGGCGAGTCTGCACGCTTTCAGCCTACCCGGTCTGCGGCCAGGTTTTGTTGATACGGATTGTTTAAATTGGGCTTGATAGAGGTGAGGGTTAGATGTTATCAATAGGGGGCTATGCTTCTGTAAGGGGTTTTAATATTATTTTACTAAAGATTTCAATTTGTAATTTCATGAAACTGTACATATATATATATAATATATATACAAAATTTTTACAAAGATTTTAATATAAAATGAGAATACAAAAAACACATGGAAAAATCACACACAAAATCAAAACTTATTACCTATTCACCCTCCTCATTAATTATATTTATTTTGTAATGAAGATCTTTGTATATAGATCTATATTATATAATTTTAAAAACATAATAGATCTAACACTTTGGATGATTGAAGAATTTAATACTACTTGTAACATTTATACACTTGAAAAATCATAATTTAGAATTCAATCACAATCATAGCTCCTTTATCTAACTGCTGAAAATAAAAAATATACATACCCGATCCAGGGCTTTCCTTCCTAAACCCATGCCTGATTTTCCAGGCCCCAACTAGGTTTTTTAAATCCTTTCTATAGCTGATTTAATTAAGGTAAACATTAGTAGATAATTTATGTAACTTACCAATACTCAACACCTTTTTTTGACATACACAATCGACAAGCCTTTCATTGTTTAGCGAAAGTTGGCAATAAAATCACGTGATTGATTGAGGTATAAAGAGAAGACTGTCATTCATCTAAAATGTAGACTATTATTGCTATAACACGAAAGATCATTTGGGTCCAGAATATACCCATCATAGATCAATAAGGCACATACCAACTAAAATTAGAAATATGCAGTTCTCTGCAAACCATTGGGACTATACACACTGCTCTATTTATCCTAAATCCTAAAGTCGACAGTGGTGTAGGCGCGCAGAGATGCAAACAACTCATTCATACTCTAGAACTAAAATCCAATTCTTCAATGTTTCAAATGAGAGGTGATAAGACCTACAATTCTCTACGTCCATCAATATGATCCATTAAATTTAACACACATACAAGTTCGAGTGAGTTTGCTCTAAATTGGGAACAGTTAAATACTCCCACCGATCTTGGTATGAAGGAATGGCATCACAAAAGTGTATATAACATACGCAATGCCTTTAGAACGAACCTACTGTTTGGTGGGATGGTGTTCATAGGGTTGGTATAGATCATCACAAATTAAAATCTACTACTTCGGATTCCTAAGAACAATAATCACAGAATCTCCTCTGAGAAACATTTTATTGATGAATCTGTCCTTGTTAACCAGGAGGGCCTTCTTCTTGCCTTTTCCAGTTTTTGGTACCTACAACAATGAAATCAGATATTATTTTAACATAGATATATGACGGCTCATTAAAAAAAAAATGATCCATTGCTAAAAACCAACCTCAGTCCACATTTCCCTGACATTTTCAAGAACCATGTTGCAGTGGCGATCAAATGCCCTCACTCGACCAAGAAGCTTTTTGTTGTTTCTACAATTAATGAGCACCTGTCCAATCAGGTCAAAATATTCAGTTTATGATGACAGACTTTCCCTTTATAAGCCAACTTAAAATCATGAGGCAATCAATAAAATTACCTGGGTATTGTTTTTAACACTCATCATTAAAACAGATAGTGGTCCAATGCTAAACTCCTCTTCCTCATTCTTGACATGCTGCAGCATGAAAAACAGGGAATTAATAAAATTGCAACGAGGACATTTAGGTGGGTGTGTGTTGTGTTCAAACTACAAAAATAACTTACATCTTCTTCCATTGGCCGGCTGCATAATAAGAACAAGAAAAACAGAAGAAAGTTATGTCAGTAAATCAGCAGCAATGAAATACTCATGAATTTAACATGATAACTTGGCCAGAAAGGGGCAAATAAGTACCTCGTGTTGATAAAAGCAGAGAGTTCTGATCTTCAAACAAATCCTAGATGTAGACCTGGCAAGAAAATAACACAACAAAACTACAAATTAAAAGCTGAAATTTGCTAGTATCAGGATTGAATATAGTAAAGCAATGGGAACACATTAATTACCATAGCAACATTCACAAATTAGATTAATAGTACTTTCACCTCATTATTGGTTATCAAGATCAATTCTGAAATGGAAATGTGAAAAAAAGCCCATAATACTTATAATGTACTCATGCCTAAAGTTAACTTATTAAAGTTATCTTTCACAAACAAAATTACAATGGAGTTACTATTAAACAACTCNATAACATCAGTATGCGATGCCTCAAAAGCAATCAAGTTAATTTTGCTATTATTATGGGGAGTAGTGATTAGGGGAAGCAAAATATTAAAGAGAGCACTATACTAAACATATGTGCACTGTTCTCTTTCTTCCTTGACCAAGTTTTGTCCCATTCGACTTCCCCAATAAGATTTTTAACAAGACAATATTAAGTACATCCAACACCATTGGTGTTCAAGGAGGTTTGCTTCATTCCTTGAGTTCTTAAGTTCAAACCTTAGGACCACTTACTACAATAAAATTATGGTTTACTTAGTCTTTTGGGCTTGTAGAGTGTTCAATAGACTCTAAAGATTAGTTAAGGTACGTGCAACTTAGGTCACCCCAATCACCAAAAAAAAAAAAAAAAAAATACAATTCATGAAATAATCGTGTTTATTTGCTTAAATTTTTGTCCCATTGAGATTTTCCTAAGTAAAGTCAAATGTAATTATCTATAATTAGTAAAAATAAAAAAAGAAGTGTTTTGAATCGTGGAAGTCCACCAAATTGCCAGATTTTAGGCCTTGTAACACATAGCTCAAGTTATATCTCTAATTGATACATGCACTTGGGCCTGGCTTTAATTTAGAAGTATTTTATTTGCACAATTTATTTTTACTTTTAACCGGTGAAAATATGTAATTATCTATAATTGGTGAAAATAAAAAAAAGAGAATTTTATTTGCACAATTTATTTTTACTTTTAACTCATCCAACTCATTTCATGAATAATAATTTTAAAATAAAATACATTTAATTTAGGAATGATTTGATGATGTGGTATATTGTTACCAAATCTAAAATACTCATTAATACATTAATCTCAACTATATATATATATATATATATAAAATTTAAATATTCTGAAGGAAAATTTTTTGACACCCTATTTGTTTACAGGTTTTGAGCTCTGTTTTAAAAACCGGACCGGACCGACCGGTCGGACCGGTTGGACCGTGAACCGGTAGCTTCTCCGGTCCGGTTTAGGTCTCAGGGGGGTTTTTGAAATATTTTAAAATTATGAGGGTTACTTTGTAATTTTATAGGGGTATTTTGAAGATATATCAAAAGTTTAAGGATTAATTGGTAATTTTATTGGGGTATTTTTGGAATAAATAAAAATTTTAGGGACCAATTTGAAACTTTTTAGAGGAATTTTTGTAATATATTAAGATTTAAAGGGTTAATATGTAATTTTTTAAAAATAAAATATTGCTGACGTCGCCGGTCCAACCGACCGGTCCAACCGGTTGGACCGATTGAACCGTGACCCGGACAGCAAAACGGTTTGCCCTCCGGTCCGGGTTTTAAAACAATGGTTTTGAGAACTATCACTGTTCTGCTCTGGAAAACTTTATTCCAGTGTCAACCTTCAAAAAATTTATGTAAATAATGACTATTAATTTTATGAATATTATATTTGTAAGTTTTTTATATACCAATTGACGTAATAATTAACGACAATAAAATTTGTTTCCCTTTTTTTGTATTTCATTCAACAGTCTTTGCTGCCCAACAGACGTGTATCGAATGCTTAAAATTTCTATTATATGAGCACATATACTGGAGATCCAAAGTAGTCCAAAGAAAAAGCTCCATTGCAATACCTGCATAATTCATCAAACAAATTGTTACATGTGCATGTGTGCGTGTATTTGTGTGTGTGTTTCGGGGAGTTTTACTCATTCCCACCCTTTCCCGAGCACAAACAGATAAATTAAGCCCCCTAAAATCTCCTGAATATTACAGGACATCTAAACCATCAAGACTATAGTTTTTTCTAAAATTATTCACTTCGCAACAACATGAAACACAAGGGAGTACCAACAGAAACAGTAAAAGCAACAACAATCAAAATGATGAATAATCACACTGATGATGTGGACACTGAAAGAAGTTCAACACAATATCAAAAGAAAAAAGCACTACCTGTTGCTGAACTTCTCAAAAGCATCAGAGGCATAAAGAAGTGTTTCATTTGCTTTCTCAAGAACCATATAAAGCTCCTTCCCCCTTGTTACCCCCAGCAATAACCCAGGCATTATTTTTTGCTCTGATGCATAGTTCCAAATCTCTCTCAGAGTCTGGATTATCATATTTTGCTCTACTTTTTTTTCCAAATCTACCTCTTCTCTAAGCTTGCTTAATGCAAGTAAAGATTCCTGCAACACAATAACACAAAATGCACCAACTTGAAAGTTTTATTCTCATCAAAACACCACTACTACAAATTAATATAGTTCTCTTAAAGATGGGAGTCCCTTTAATTTATAAATGGCACCTTAGCATCAAAGCATATTCAAATTTCCATGTCAGCCTCAAATAACAAGAAAATAATTACATGTGCCTCACATTTTAATATAGGTCACCTACAAGACTATGCATATAAATATAAGCAGGGGTGGAGCCACCATAATTTTTTTCCACTTTAGCCCTCATATAAGCCATCCATTGAGGATGATAAAATAGACTAGACTAGACAACACATATGGTGATCTAATAGACAATCAAAGTGCTCCTATGATGTCGACCATAATTTAAAATTCATTTACTGAACTGTCCTCAATCCCTTAACACGCACCAAAAAAAAAAAAAATGTTCAGTTTGAAGCTGCAGTAAAAGATTGTTAATCATCCAGCCTAAATAATATTGCATGGATACATTCTTCTGTGTTAAACCAGACATATTCACAACACAATTGCAACAGTGTGCTTTACCTTTGTTAGTGTAGTAACCTTTCCTGGTGGAGAAGCCCTTGAGATATTTCTGTCACCATCGGCAAGTAAGTAATGATACCCACTGACATGATATGCATTCTGGCCACCCCAACCTTTGGATAGTTTCTCTTCAACTTTTAATATCTTTAGTGAGGCCTGAAAGATGCAAGAAAGAAGATAAAATTTAGGCACTACTATGTGTGCTTCAAATCTACAATGATACACTCTTCTAATGAAGTAAGAATTCCACAAAATCGCAAATAACTGACAGCATAAAGCAGAATGACAGATGTGAAAAGAAAATACACAATAGAAGAGTGTCAAGGTCCTAGAGGATAAAAAGAAAGCTTCAGGACGATATAAGTAGCATTAACTGGATAGAAAATCTTATTAATTTAAAATATCTGATGAACTAAATTAAACCGATCTGAACAACGTGACATGATTTAGAGACCAACCGCACTGGACTTCTGCAACAAACAAAATTTTGAGGGTAATGATTGACAAATGATAGCAAACCAGAAAAACAACATAAGCAAGAGAAGTTCAATGGCTAAAAATCATGATAAATCAACAATGAAAATAAGGAACTAACATTATCAAGAACTTGTTGCTTTACTGCAGAAACACCTTGCTCTCCATTTAGAATGGAGGAAACAGGAATGAGAAGGATTATGGTAAGGCTTTTATACTGATGAGGACAGAGATACATTCCCTCCTCGGTCTGCCGAAGCCAAACTGTTGGGGTGGCACAAATCAAGCTACCAGCATCCACACCCCATATATCAGTGACAAGAAAACCATCCTTTCCATTGGACCATTTACCATGCTGCAAGGGCCGTGCATCATGATTACTATTGTCTCTGCCAGGTGAGGTATTACTTGAATGATAAATTTGTTCTGAAACAGAGGCAGAATGGGGCAAGGTAGACCCTGAAGCAACAAGAGATGAGGCACTTCATAGTAATTCTCATGTCAAATTCTTCATAGTAATTCTCTTAAATAGCTATTTGCACATTTTGTTATATACATTTATCATATTTCATTATTGCCTTCCTTGGAATTAACTGGCAATATTTTGCAGGAAATTCATCAAGTCATTCCTTCAGGGTTTTCTTCCTGGTCTTGCTCTTAAAATCTTCTTGTACATACTTCCAACAGTTTTGATGATAATGTCAAAGATTGAGGGACATATAGCCGTATCAAATCTAGAACGAAGGACATCAGCAAAGTACTATTACTTCATGTTGGTGAATGTCTTCTTAGGAAATATCATTGCTGGAACAGCTTTTGAGCAACTGCACTCTTTCCTTCATCAATCACCAACCCAGTAATATATTATATCCTTTATGCTGAGAGATTCTTTTATTTCTTTGCTTGAAATTTTTATGAGATATTATGCTATTGTGTCAGAAAATGATCTCGCCAATCTGATTGCTCTTGTAATGGTGTTATCGATTATCAATGTTGAGCAATATGCCCACTCTCTAGAACTGTAGTTATTATCATAATTTGTCTTAATATGCTTCCCTTGGAATTGAAAATTGTATATTCACTTTGTTTCATTGCAGGATTCCTCGAACCATTGGGGTATCCATACCAATGAAGGCCACATTCTTTATTACATACATAATGGTTGATGGGTGGGCTGGCATTGCTAGTGAGATTCTCCGATTAAAACCATTGGTAATCTTTCATCTCAAGAATATGTTTACAGTGAAGACTGAAAAAAACAGGGAAAGGGCAACGA